TTTATTCCCATGGGAAAATAAAATTTTCCCATGGGAATTTAGTTTTCGTATTCTCAACACAAGCGGTGGAATATTTTCCAATGAGAAGTATGGGAAAATATTCCCCTGCTTGCGAGCATTGGAAATTGTGTTTTCCAATGGGAATTGTACTAGAGTTTGCGCATTAAAGTCGAAAATTTGACGAAAGACCACGCGAAAGACTAAGACATAACCAAAGATTATTGGATATCTTGGATTTTTGGTGAAATTGTAGTTAAAACATTTTTTTTGTGTATTTATAAATTGATATTATTTTATTTATGTGGGTATATTATTTTTACCTCTCTTTCACTAAGAAACTGATTTTCTTAAATTAGTTAGAAATTGTGGGAGCTGCTAAGGGACTGGCAAATAGGTAGCACAAATTGAGAAATTTGTAGTAAATTTAATAAGACCTTTTCGAAAATTTTATTATTTCCGTTAACGAAAGAATTTCTTATATATATAGTTTCTCGAAACTTTCGTTGCTCTTCTATACAAAAGCTACTTTTTCTTTTTCAATATGTGAAAAGAAAAACTAAAAATAACTCGATAAGTTTTAATTATACATAATCGAATATTTTCACTTGTCCTCGGTCAAGCTAGCGATTGCTCGGCACGGCATCTGCTCCAGCGCAGAGGCTCGGCAGGTAATCGGTTACCCAAAAACCACAACAAATACAAATAATACCAACAGTAAATTTTAAAATATCTTTAATGTTATTGGTTATTTCGAAATATTCGTGAACTTAATATCAGACATACGTGAAACTATTATTTCCATGGGAATGTCTATTCCGACAAGTTCGAGAATTGCATAACCTATTACCATGGGAATATAAGTAGTGGAATTTTTTCCCATGGGAAAATTTTCCAATGAACTCGAGAATCGAGCCCCAGGCAGTGGAATTGCTTCCGGAAAGTTAGCATCATTTTTAATTATTCGTTCGTACAATAAACTATCATTAAAAACGCCACCGTCACTCATACGTCCATGGGTGCCAATATCAGCAAATAAGAAATTATTACTGTCGGCTAATGCTAGTAATATTATACTGAAATTATGTTTATAATTGAAAAATTCGGATCCACTGCTGATAGGGGCTTGTAATTTGACATGCTTGCCGTCGAGTGCTCCTAAACAATGTGGAAATTGCCAAGTGTTTTCAAATCCATTTGCTACTACCAACCATTCCTTTCTGGTCGCAGGCATCTAAAAAACGTAAATTTTATTTACTAAATTTCAAAAAGTATTTACGGGTACGGATTGATAGTATTTTTTTTTCAGCCTGGAACATTGTCTAGCCAAACTGCGGAGACAGAAGAAAATGAAAGTATTAACAGCCAGTCTGATACTATCTCTACTCCTGCTAGGAAACGACGTGCCACTGCAACACCAGAAGTAGCACATGCTAGACAACAAATGGACGAAGCAGTAAGGGTTCTCAAAACTATTTCACATAACCAGTGAAGTCGACTTGTTTTGTAAACTGCTAGCAGCAAAAATTAAAAAATTCCATCAAGATGAAAGGAAAGATATTATGCATGAGATTGACGAACTTATGTACAATAAAAGACGCAAGGAAAGTCTGAAGAATATGACCAGCACACCCTTATTAGACATTTCAATTTCATATGGGAGTACTAGAAGAGTTTCACTTCAATCTCCTTCTCCTTCGGCATCTTCTCAATCCCAATTTCACAGTATTTCATACGAACAAACACCATCGCCTTATCCGCTAAACATGTATGACGAAGAGTATCATCAAGTAGATAGGCCCACAACACAAAACACCATCAACATTATGTCAAACGATATAATTCGACAAGCTTTTGTGACTTCTGGTAACACGTGTACAAATTTGGATGGTCAGCTGTAGATACCATTGCTCTGATTCATTTGATTGAAAGCAATTCACGTGTTTCTTTATTTTTTGTAGGTACTTATTTTGGCAATAAAACAGTTTAAAGTAAAGTATGTTCTAAATGTTCCTTACAAATATTATGCAATAGCTGTTTTATGTTATTAGTACATGGAGTAGAGCTTTATTTGGTGAGTTTTTTTACGACCTAGCAATCTTGCGAGGGAGGATAATATACAAGATTTTATGTGCCATTGCTCTCAAATGGCAAAAAAATATAATTATTTCTTATTTAATTTTTTTTTCATTAGTCTACTTTCAATATCAAAATTTTTAAAATAAAGTTATTTTTTCTAATTTTGACATATAAAGTGACATTTTTTGTAATCGCACCAAGTGTCAAAATAATCTACTTTATGTCACTAGTTAAATAATGTTGAACATAAAAATTAAACTGTATATTGGCTACATAAAAATATATTTGGTTAGTGAACATACAATTATTTATTAATTTTAATTATGTATCTGTCACTATTTTAAACAGTCTTGATTCATCCTAAAAATGCACAAAATAATCAAAAACTGTTTCACTTAATACACTGACAGGACTTTAAGGAGAAAAAAGTAGAAATATCCATATCCCAAATTTAAAAGTATCACATTGGTATGTTAAGTTATTATTTATGATTGTCAGACTATTTGACGTTTACCAATTATTTTATGCCACCTAAATGATATAATATCCGTTGTAAGCAATCGCACATAAAATTGCTTTACCTATAAACGTACCTTTATATAATTATTCAGGGCCTCACATATGGCTTCACAAACTTCAGGTACTATTAGTGATATAACTTGGCTAGATATTTTGAAAAGGAAATGCAGGCTCTTATAACTGTCTCCTGTGGCATGAAATCTAAGTGTCACTGCTAAACGTACTTTTGCAGGTATAGCATCTCGCCATAGCGTATCTTTTTTCTTTATTTGTGGTTCAATTAGCTGGAGAAGATACTCAAAATCAGCTGCAGACATACGGCAGAAGTTATCAAAATCTCCTGAAGGTTCTCGCGCCAAGTCACTCAATAATTGACGTCCATCATACCTAAAATATTCCATTAAAATCAAATTTGTTTTTGCTACTAAATGTGACATTACAACAACTATTAACATTACAGGTTCATACTTACCGATTTCTCAGTCTATGCATGGTTGTCATCCACCATCTTCTTCTACGAGGTCGCTTTTTTCTTTTTTGTAGTAAAATATAATTATACGCACAAATTATTACTGCAGTCGCACCCAAAGTAATTTCTCCGTCAGACATGTTGACGTTGGCTCTGACGGGAACGGACTGATATTGTGCCAACTCTTCCCCAATGTGTGGAAGCCATAACGAACATGAAACCCCAACGATCGCCAACGTTGGCGCCAATGTTGGCTCCAATGTGTGGAGCCGGCATAACAGCAATATGCGAGAGCGGTATTACATGGCGTGTCGATTATCAGATTAGGTATATTAGTTTTTATAATGTGTTTTAAGAATAATTTGGCCAAATCTTTTCTATAAAACATTGAGAAAAACAATAATTAAATTTCAGGTCCAGTCCTCAATATTACATAATTTTTACATTGTAGTACATGCTTCTTAAGCATTTCGAGCACAAAGTTCAAAGCAAAATCCAAAATTCCGGTCCTGTCTCGCCCGCCACGCCTCCGTCCGTCGTCTCACTGCATTCCAACCTCATTATGTTTCTTGTGCTGCGAGCGTAAGGTGATTTAGTTTGTTTTATCGTACTGTGCTATCGAGAGATTTTTGCTGTTTTATCAAAATGTAAGTACCTTTTTACATCTACATGTCATAGAAACTTGTATTAACCATACATTATATTATTATAAACAGCCTTTAGCTGTTTACTTAGGCGTAATCCTACATTTTTAGCATTCTCTTTTAGAATGGGTAAATCTAAAAAGAATAAGAGAGATAGAAGCCTATTAGTAAGCGATTCTGAGAATGAAAGAGAAAATAAATCGTTAGTCAAAAGACTAAAACGATTAGAATGCAAACTTATTGAACAAAAGCGTTATTTTTCGTATTCTCGATCCCGGAGTCGTACTCATGAACCAAGCCATCACAGAGGTCGTCGTCGCCACCGCTCTCGCTCGGCTAGTCGATCGCCCCGGTCGCGAAGCAGATCACTTCGCGTCGCAAGGCATAATGATGACGCACCGGCTTCAACTTCGATGATCGGTGGTCAAGACCGGGGGGCTTGGTGTGGCCGAAAGCGAAACGGCGTCGTTGCCACGTGTAGTGGTTAATAACGAGATTGATAGCGTTTGCAGCGCTTCTCCTGTTACTGAGCGAGACATGTGTAGTGTTGTCGCAAATAGTGAAATTGACGCAGATGAACTTGTCGTTCATAATGATATTTCCTTGCCAGATGACGTCCTCGAAATTTTAGGCGAGGACCCAGAAAAAACCAAAATGCCAGTTTTTCAGTGCATGATTTGCTGGTCCCTAGGTGGAAAGCCATTTTACTAAATGGAATTAAAAAAGAAGATTCTGTCAATCTTCTGAACAAGTATGAGTTTTCATCCAATTTACCAGACCTCTCACCGCCGAAATTAAACCCGGAAGTGGCAGCAGCATTACTAAAGGAAAACCTGGTAACAGATTCATCTTACATTGAGGTCCAGAATCAATTAGGTAAGGGAATCTGTGCGTTGGCAACGGGTGTTACCGGCCTATTAAAGAATGTTGAAAAAATTTCTGATGGCATTAAAAATGAATTGTTAACGAGCCTTTTGGAATCTGGTCGAATCCTCTCAAACCTCTTTCACCGCGTCTCCACTACGCGGAAAAACCTAATAGTTCCACATTTAAGAAACATGAAGGAACTGTCCGATAAATGTACTCCATCGGAATATCTCTTCGCAGCCAACCTTCCTGAGAGATTTAAGTCGGTTAAAAATATTGAATCGACCAGCAGAGTTAAAATTATTATCAAATACAAACAAGGCAACATTCTTGAATAAAAAACAAAACAAGGGTAGTGTCAGCCACAAACCCTCCAACAATACATTGAAAAATAAAAATTTAAACTATTATGGCCCGGCCCGTCCATGGGGGGAGACGAGTCATTACAGAGGGCAAACCTCAAGGAAGGAACATCATCAGAAGAGCAAAACGAAACAATAGAGTGCAAGGAAGGAGTAGCCCCGGTAAGTAATGAATATGGCGGACGCTTAAGGTTTTTTTATAAACAATGGCAATCGGTCACCTCCAATAGGGTGGAGCGAAAATACGAAGTTTTAATTTTCAATATGCCTGACCTTGAAAAATATATGGCTAATAAAAATAAAGATTTTCAGTAAATAACATTTTTTTTATTGCTCCCTTCCATCCCCACCACTATATTTCTATATTTTATTTATTTTAAACGTCGTGGCGGTGAAAAATGAAAAAAATTATTCTACAAAAAAGAATTCATTTATTTTTTTATGTATTTTGAAGGGTCAGGCATAATAAAAAGGTAATTTTTTGTACTTAATTTTTTCGGAGAAAATTGTTTTGTATAATTGCCTAAATCTTTAGTACGCCTATGATCAAATCTGACCACGCCCATATCCGTTCAGTGATGAATGTGGTATAACAACATCAGTTACAAGTTTGTGCTTGGTGAGTTAAGTTGTTTTTGTGGATTATTGTGATTTAAAAGCATTTAAAAAATGTTAAGACTAACAAGGAATGCCGTTGAATGTCCTATTTTCGGTGCACCAACTGATTTATCAAGTGTTTCACTACCGACTTTTTTTGATTTAATAAAATATTTTTTGTGGGTTCGACACCAAGAAGAACAAAAACATGTTAACCGAAATTTAATTGGGGCTAATGCATTAGAAATTGTTTCTCGAAAAGTTGAAGAAATTTGGAGAAATGCTTCAATCCCTACCATAAGTCACCAGAGAATTGTGGTTTTAATTAAAGGTTATCAGAAAAAACGCAAAGATCTTTTGAAGCCTTATTTGCAGCGGCAAAATGTTTCAGCTTATAAATTACAAATAGAAGCTTAAAAAAAAAACAGTAGAAAATTGTTTGACATTGCTGCCTGCAAATGTGATTTAAGTGAATGTTCTTGTCCAAAGAAAAACAAAGTGAGTTAATTTAATATTGAAATTTGAAAATAAAAATAAGCCTTATTTGTTAATTTATATTTCAGGTTCCTTTAAAAGAGCGTCAGTTTCTCGAAGATCAAAGAACGTCCCGAAAAATGATGATGGGCTCTGTAGATTATAAAGCAGTTCGTCAACAGAAAAAAATTGAATGTAGAAAATACGCAGAAGAAATTAGAAAGAATGAAGCAACAGTCGTTCAAAAACAAAATTCCGTGTTAGGACTAAAAAAAATTTCGAAGACAGTAATATTTCTTCTGATGAGTCAATTCTTCCTAGTACATCAGGATTAGTAACAAGTAATATTGCTTCAGGTTCAGAAACAATTAATAAAATGAAAATTCCTGTGCTCGCCGAAATACTTGACCGTTATGCCATTTCCGATAGAGCTGGTGCTGCCATAGCTTCGGCAGTACTTCAAGACTATGGTTTAGTAAGTGACAGATCTAGTGAGAATGTTATTGACCGTCATAAAATAAGAAAGGCAAGACAGAAAAATAGAAATAACTTACAAACAGTTTCCAATTCAATATTAAAACGAGGGCTTTATTTCGATGGACGGAAATATAAAACGCTTACATATTCAGAAAACAGGAAAAGAATGGTAACGGAAGAACATGTCGTTTTAATAGAAGAGCCGGACTCGAAATATATTGGTCACATATCCCCGAAATCTGGAAGTGCTTTAAGTATTTTAAATGCTATTACAGAGTTTTTCGAAAAACAGTCAAATGCTTTAGATTGTTTAGAAGTTATTGGGTGTGACGGAACAAATACTAATATTGGGAATAAAAATGGCGTAATTACCAAATTAGAGCGAAACCTAAAACGACCTCTTCAATGGTTTGTATGTATGTTGCATGCAAACGAGCTTCCGTTGCGACATCTTTTGCAACATCTCGATGGAGAAACCACTGGTCCCAGAGCGTTTGGAGGTTCAATTGGAAAAAGTTTAAGCAGCTGTGAAAAATTGCCAATCGTAGAGTTTTCCAAAATAAATGGTGAATTGCCAGTAATTTCAGAAGCAGAACTGAGTACGGATCAAAAGTATTTGTATATGTGGGTCGCAGTAAATACCGGAAATTGCTCTTTTGTGCTGTCAAAACGTGACCCTGGAAAAATTGTGCACTCCCGCTGGTTGACGACCGCCAACAGAATTTTGCGCCTTTATGTTGCAACCTCTGAACCGAATCAAAATTTAATGACACTTGCAACTTTTATTATAAAAGTATATGCACCCATATGGTTTTCAATAAAACAAAAATCTTCTTGCGTTCAGGGTGCAAAACACCTTTTTAAGATGGTTCAATTTACCAGAAGACTTGAAATGTCTAGTCCATAAAGTAATAAACCGAAACAGGTATTTCGGCCATCCTGAAAATGTATTGCTTTGTATGTTATTTGATGAACGCCTACATATACGAAGGCTAGCATATCTGAAGATTATGAAAGCTAGAGCCAGCGAAGCTCCTGAAAATGAAATTCGTTATTTTTCTATTCCTTCTTTTAATTTTGATGCTAAAGATTACTACGAATTAGTCGACTGGCAAAACGTAGTTTGGAGTGAACCACCCATTACCACTAAGCTGACAAAAGAAGACTTAGAAGAAGTTGTGCAATATCCAGAATCTTCAGCAATAAGCTATGTTAGGAATTATCCTTGTCATTCACAAGCAGTAGAACGAGCAGTTAAATGTGGTAACCGAGGCAGCTGTTACTGTTTGTGGTTACGAAAGAAGAGACGGGGTAATTCGAAGTAAATTACACTCCAGAACTCTAATGCCGAAATTTGAAACAAAAAAAGATTTTAAAATCAAATAATTTCTATTTTATGTTTTATCGTTTATTTTGTGAATTTAAATAAATGTTTTGCAAATACAATTTCAGTTTTTATTTAAAAAAGTCTATGTTTTTCACCAACAAAATATTCGAGTCTTGGAGTACTACTGTAGTTGGATTTTTTAAAGAAGTACCCATTTTAGGTGTACTGGGGTGGAAAGGATCGATATATGATTTGAAAAAAAAATGGAAAATTTATGGCATTAGGAAAAATCTTTCCATAGTACGGACAATGCAGTTTAAAAAAAAATATTTTTTTTTTGAGTTTGTGGCGGTGGAAGGAGTCGACTTATAATTCGGAAAAAATACGGATAACTAACTTATGGCAATATGATAAGACTTTTCAGTATACGGGCAATGAAATTTAAAAAAATATATATATTTGGGGGGGTTGTGGCGGTGGAAGGGGGTGACAAATACTCTCCAAAAAAATGCAGTTTTACTTATTTATATGGACACATCTTTTCCGCAGACAGGCAAAGTCTATTTTTTAAATTTTCAAATTACACCTATTCGAGCGCTCCACCCTAACCTCCAACCCAGTTGTACTGCGCTGGATAAAAGGGTACACCTTGCCTTTTGTAGTTGATCCACATCAGCTAAAACCCTCTTTTCACCAAAGACGTATCCCCACCGAAAGCCCGGAAATGGGAAGTGAAATTTCCAAATTAATTAAAATGGGGATCATCAAAAAATGCAATTTTATAAAAAATCAATTTGTCTCCAGTATTTTTCTAGCCGACAAACCCAACGGCGATAAGCGTTTTATACTAAACTTAAAAAATTTAAATAAATTTATAGTCGCTCCACACTTTAAAATGGAGGATGCGAGAACCGCGACCAGATTAATACAGTACAATTGGTTTGCGGCTAGTATAGACCTTAGGGACGCATACTATATGATTTCAATTAATAAAAATTATAGAAAATTTCTAAGATTTTCTTATAATAAATCCCTTTATGAATTTACTTCTTTACCATTCGGCTTGGCAACAGCGCCTCACACCTTTACCAAGCTGATGAAACCGATAGCACAATGGTTACGCGCCAGGGGTGTAACGTGTGTAAACTACCTGTATGATTTTTTGATCTTGGGTTCATCGGAAGGAGAATGTCAGCGGAATGTACAATTAACTATATATATTTTGGAATATCTTGGTTTTTTATTGAATAGGAAAAAAAGTGTTTTTTCTCCTAGCACCAGATGTAAATTTCTAGGATTTGTTTTTGATTCTATAAAAATGACAATCGAACTAACCCCAGAAAAACGAGAAAAAATTATGAAATGGGTCAAATATTTTTTGACCCGGGAAACCTGCAAAATATTAAAATTTGCGCAATTTCTTGGCCTAATAACATCTGCTTGCCCGGCAGTTAAATATGGATGGCTGTATACCAAACATCTGGAAAGGGCCAAATATTTAGCCCTAAGATTCAACCAAGAGAATTATAATTCGAATATGCATATTACCAAGGAGATTAAATCTGACCTGAAGTGGTGGCATAATAAGATACCACAAACATCGAATAACCTAAAAAAACTATTCCTATATCCTCATACTCATTACTCATTTAATTCAGACGTGCTTTTAGTGTGCTCTTCCAAATTCAAATAATTAATAGTGAAAAGACACAACTACAATTGAAAAGTAAGTGGATATTGATTTACAAACTCGATCTTTCAATAATTATATCTAAAAAGTCTAGAAAAACTACTTGATTTTGAGAAAATACAAATTTCATTAAATAGTTGCACATTCTCGTCTAAAATAAAAATATGATATAGTCCGGGAGCCTGTAAAGTAAATATTTTAAACATAAGAAATAAAAAGCAAAATAATGGCATCAGAAGAACAAATAAGAAGTCTACTACTAAGTTTTAAGACTGAACTTCTTCAAGAAATAATAAGCACTAAACAAGAACTAAAAAATTCGATTGAAGCGTCAGAAGCGCGAATAGCACTGAGTATTGAAAAACAGAATAAAAGAATCAGCAATCTAGAAGTAGAAAATCAACATCTTAAAGAGAAATTGGAAAACATTGAAAAAAATCAAAAACGTAACAATATAATAATTTTCGGATTAAACAAACCAAAATTTGAAAGAAGTGTGGCCTTCATCTGTGAGGAAATAAAACGATTACTCCAAATAGATTTATTTGAACAGGATATCTCTAACTTATATTCGTTAGGGAATTCAGACACCTCTCCATTAAAATTAGAATTAATCTCGTCACTAAAAAAGAAACAAATATTTCAAAACTGCAACAGATTAAAATCAACTAATATAAAAATTGTACAGTATCTCACAGAAATACAACGAGAGGAAATAAAAATCTTAACGAATTATTTAAAAGAGGCCCGCAGAAACGCCAACGAAAGAAGCTATATAAAGGGAGGAAAATTATACGTTGGAAATAAATATTATACAGCAGAAGAACTACAGAACTCTATACTTCCAAAAGAACAAAGCCAATCACTTAGTGCACCATCCACTCCTTCAAATAATTCAAATAATACGGAAAATAATTTAGAGGACCTCAACAATAGAGACCGTGATACAACAAACATTCAAACAGAAGATAAACCGGATGAAAAAAATACGGCAACTCCAAAAAGTAAAAATCAGAAACCCAAACCCACTCTGCCAAAAAATCCTATTCCAAAGAACCAATTTGAAAAAAGGACAAGATCTGGATCAAATTCTAAACAAATCTAAATTAATTTTTACTAATATAAAGCAAATACCCTTTATGAAACTGCTCCTTGACTGAAGTAAATCTAAGAATTTTGGTTAACTGTTTATTACATTTTTTTTTATTATTTTTAAACTAGATATAAAATTAGTATAATTAACAAAATGAGATATGGATCAATATATACATGATTTCAAACTAGATCCTGTAAAAACTTACACCTTAGATACAGAAATTGAATGTAAAGAAATTTTAAAGGTCAACAAACTAGATAACAATTTTAAAATAATACACAATAATATACGGAGTGTGCACAAAAATATAGATGAATTCAAAATATTTTTAATAAACATTGATGAAGAATTTGATTGTATTGTTTTTACAGAAACTAGAATATTATCAGACTGCACTTTATATAACCTACCGGGTTACAATATGATCTATAACGAAGGAGATTATAATCAAAATGATGGAGTATTGATGTACCTAAAGAGTAAATATGATTATGAATATGAAATTGTACAATTAGGTAACATTAAAATTCTTAAAACTAAAGTTAATCTAATCGAAAAGAACATAGTAATAAGTGCACTCTACAGATCACCAGCTTCCAATATAAAGGAGTTTAATCAAATATTGCAAAACTACTTAGAAAACAATCAAACAGAATCTGAACATTTTTATTTGTTTATAGGTGATATAAATATTAATATCCTTGAATCAGATGACAACTGTATTGAATATTTAAATATTCTTAGTGAATTCGGTTATATCTCTACAATTAACGAACCTACCAGACTTGATAATTGCCTAGACCACATTTTTATAAAATCTAAAACTTTTATTTCAGATATGATTATTCCGATTATAGTAAAAAGCAATGTAACAGATCACTTTACAACAATACTTCAAATTGTCTTACATGAGAACATAAAAATTCCTTCAGAAGTTATGGTCAAAAAATTTTTAAATGTTAAAAAATTAATACAAAATGTTTCTCAAATCAGCTGGCAGTCTGTGTACACAGAGACTGATCCAAATACTGCAATAAACATATTCATTAAAATATTTTCTGAAAACATTAAGAAATCTTTAGAAATAAAAAAATGTACAAGAAAAAATTCTAAACTTGCGCCATGGGTTACAAATGGCTTGCTAACATCTATAAATAAAAAGAGTGATTTGTTTAAAAAACTATAAAGTTTCCTAATAACGAACCAATAAAAAAAGAGTACAAATTATATATAAATAAACTTACAAATATCTTAAATAAAACAAAAGCTAATTACTACAAACAACAGATAGAAAGAAATGCAAATAATTCAAAACACCTATGGGACGTTGTAAAAAATCTAAGTAAATCTAATAACAAAGAAAGTACCATCAAACAAATAAAAAAAGAAAATGGAGATTTACTTACTGATTCTGTTGAATTCGCTAACGAATTCAATAGGAGATTTACGGAAATGGGGAAAAATCTTGCTGAAAAAATAAAACGGGACCCAAATTTTAAATTACGGGAGAACAGAATACCTTCTAGTATAAGTTTATTTCCTACTTTACCAACAGAACTCAAAGTTATAATACACGAACTAAAAGATAAGAAATCTACAGGTATAGATGATATTCGTTCAGAAACTATAAAAACAGTGGCCGATTTTATAGTGGCTCCGCTTGCCTACATCGTAAATCTCTGCTTAGAGAATGGAATTTGGCCTGATTCATTCAAAAAAACAGTTGTTATTCCTATTTATAAAAAAGGAGATAAAACTGTAGTCACGAATTATCGTCCAATATCCCTTATTACCAACTTGTCAAAGATTTTTGAAAAATTACTAAAAAAACGGTTATTATCATACATAGACAAACATGATCTAATTTCAAGTAGGCAATATGGTTTTAAAGAAAACACGTCCACTGAAGATGCAGTATTAGCTCTTACAGATAAAGTACACCACGCGCTAGAGAAAGGAAACCCTTGTCTATGTATTTTCATTGATTTTGCGAAGGCCTTTGACACGGTAAGCCATCAGCAACTCCTGGATATTCTTGAATCCATTAGTCTTAAAGGAAAATGTTTACTTTTGTTAGAAAGCTATTAGCAGGGGTCAGGACACTTGGGCCTGGGAACTTTTTTACTGCGCATGCGCGGCCATAGCCACGAAGTTGGCTAACCTAAATGTGTCATCTGTCAATGTGTCATCTGTCAATTCTTCTTCTTTTTTTTATTAGTTGTCAATTCTTCTTCTTTTCGCTGTCAGTTTTTGTTGGCTGTGGAACGCGGGAGAAAAAGGCCATCGGCTGCGGCGGCGGCGCCCTCTGGCGGTTGGATTAGAATTTGTCATCTGTCAGGTGTCTGTCATCATCTGTCAGCTGTCCGTGTGTGTGTCATACGGTCGATCCGTCAACTGCCCCGATGAGGATTTCGCCAATGAGCGGCGAACATAACCCCCAGTTTAAACGGTCGTTAGACAGCTGCCCGTGGCCCCGGGGCCCGCCACGAGGCGCGCGCCACGCGGAGTCGCGCCGATGAACATAACCCCACTTTTAACGGTCGATCCGTCAATTGCCCCGATGAGGATTTCCGCCGCCGAGGTGAACATAACCCCCACTTTGAACGATCGGCAGCCCGGGGGCCCGCCACGCGGAGACGCGCCG